AGGAAGGAAGGAAGGAAGGAAGGAAGGAAGGAAGGAAGGAAGGAAGGAAGGAAGGAAGGAAGGAAGGACTGGACTTACGGTATTTTCACACATGGACCTGGATATATTTACATCAAAACGTTCCTGTACGAAAAGAGAAACAGGGAAGAAATAATTACATGCCTGCTTTTTAAAATCTCACACTATCTGCTACAGGATTTGGCACTGTTTTGCCACCTACTGTACCTTAACCTGCCAACACAAAAGAGAAGGAATCCCAGCCCTTTCACTGTTTGTTGTGTAGACTCATTCCAGAGCGCAGAAGAGGGGGACGGTCCCGATCTCGCAACCAAGCGGCGACTCAAGGAAGGAAGCCAAAGCTCCGTTTCAAACAATCGACTGATGAGTTACTCATCCAAGAAAGCTCCAACCGATAACAGGTGGAGGCAGCCCTTGGTATCAAGCATGTACCAATGGCCTAGATGTAGGAAAGGAATTTGAAGAAGGAAACCTCTTCTAGAGGACAACTCATCGGCTGGCTGAAGAGGGAGTCAACCTGTTTCCCAAAGCACCAGAAGGCAAGATAAGAAAGAATGGATGGAAACTCATCAAGGAGAGAAGCAACCTGGAATTATGAAGAAACTTCCTGACAGTGAAGACAATCAATCAGAGGAACGGCTTCCCTCCAGAAGTTGTGGATGCTCCATCACTGGAGGATTTTAAGAAGAGATTGGACAGCCACTTGTCTGGTCTCCTGGCTTGAGCAGAGAGTTGGACTAGAACAGGGGTCTCCAACCTTGGCAACTTGAAGCCTGGCGGACTTCAACTCAACCCAGCAAGCTGGCTGGGGAATTCTGGGAGTTGAAGTCCTCCAGGCTTCAAGTTGCCAAGGTTGGAGACCCCTGGACTAGAAGATCTCCAAGGTCTGTTCTTCTGCTCTCGTTCTGGCTAGCAGGCCTACAGAAGGAACACACTCCATTCTGCAACAGCTTTCTGCAGATACTAAAACTTTCCACCCTGGTTGTAAACATAACAACCCCTCTCCTGTCGCCGCAGCCGGGCAATTAGGTAGCAACACGTCGCCTGTTTCTAAACCCATCCCAGGGGAAGAAATGATTCAGAGATTGGGGGTGGGGGGGGGGGAAGGAAGTCAGTCACAGTCGTCAAGGGATAAGAAGCGTTTTCCAGACTCAATGAGGCACCTCTTGAAAAGGCTGGATCCGAGAACTCGTCAACTCAAACGATCATCTCAAATGATCTAAGCCCCAGAGCTCACCACGGAGAACAGCATTGCCAAAAAAAGCATTAAGAGTTGTTAATCTAATTTTTCAAGGTATTGGTTACCACCTTTAGAGCGCTCCATGGCTTAGGATCTTGGTACCTACGAGATCGCCTTCTGCCACCGGTAGCCTCTCACTGGCCAGTACGCTCCCACAGAGAGGGGCTCCTCAGGGTGCCGTCAGTCAAACCGTGTCGACTGGCGGCCCCCAGGGGGAGAGCCTTCTCTGTGGGGGCACCTGCCCTTTGGAACGAGCTCCCCCCGGAGATACGGAGGATCCCGGATTTACGCACTTTCCGCTGTGCCCTCAAAACTTTTTTATTCCAACAAGCTGGGCTGGCCTAACTCTTTTTAATTATTCAATTTTAATTTGCTTTTAAAAAAGGGGTGTTTTAATTAGCATGGGCCAAATTTGTGTAATATGTTTTTAATTGTTTGTTTTTTTTTAATTTTATATTGTATGTGTTTTATCTTTGGCTGTTCACCGCCCTGAGTCCTTCGGGAGAAGGGCAGTATATAAATCCCAAATAAACTCAACTAAACTAAACTAAACTTTATGAAGCTTCTTCTCCGGTAACATTGTACTGCGAACCAGGGCATACAAAGCCTTTGCCAGACCAATTCTTGAATACAGCTCGTCTGCCTGGAATCCACACTGCATATCGGACATTAATACAATTGAGAGAGTCCAGAAATATTTCACAAGAAGAGTCCTCCACTCCTCTGCTCGTAACAAAATACTTTATGCCACCAGACTTGAAATTCTGGGCTTAGAAAACTTAGAACTACATTGCCTTCGGTATGACCTAAGCTTAGTACACAAAATTATCCGCTACAAGGTCTTATCTGTCAATGACTACTTCAGCTTCAACCGCAACAATACACGAGCAAATAATAGATACAAACTCAAGGTAAACCGCTCCAAACTCGATTGCAGAAAATACGACTTCAGCAACAGAGTGGTCAATGCCTGGAAAGCACTACCTGACTCTGTAGTTTCATCCCAAACCCCCATAACTTCAACCTTAAACTGTCTACCGTGGATCTCCTCACCCCATTCCTAAGAGGTCTGTAAGGGGGCGTGCATAAGCACACCAGCAGTGGGTTTCAAATTTTTTTATTACCATTTCTGTGGTTGTGGCTTGGTGGGCATGGCAGGAGAAGGTTACTGCAAAATCCCCATTTCCTCCCGATCAGCTGGGACTTGGGAGGCAGAGAATAGATGGGGGCGGGGCCAGTCAGAATTTTTATCCAACGGTTCTCCGAACTACTCAAAATTTCCGCTACCGGTTCTCCAGAACTTGTCAGAACTTGCTGGAACCCACCTCTGATACCTACCATCCCTCTCCAACTGTCCCCATGTATCCCACCTATTATCTTGTATATGTTTGACAAATAAAATAAAATAAAATAAAATAAAATAAGATAAGATAAGATAAGATAAGATAAAATAAGATAAGATAAAATAAAATAAAATAATAAAATTAAATTAAATAAAATAAAATAAAATAAAATAATAAAATAAAATAAAATAAAATAAAATAAAATAAAATAAAATAAAATTAAAACTTGGAAGATCAGCATCCCTTTCCCAGTCTCCTCACCACGTAGCTGGTGGAGTTTTCAAAATTGTAATAGTAAAGTTTGTTTTCGGCTCCGACGAAGACGGAAGAAGAGCCCTCTTCGTGGTAGACAGCGATGTGTTTCTCCGTGGTATTAAACTGGAACTTTTTCCACCCTATAAAAGAGGGAGGGGGGGAAAAAAAGAGAAGAAAACTCAGGACTGAGCCCAGATGAAGGAAAGCACAGGGACTCCTTGCATTACGACCACAACGGAGCCCAAAATTTATGTCACTAAGTGAAGCATTTGTTAAGTGAGTTTCACCCCGTTTTACGACTCTCCTTGCCACAGTTGTTAAGGGAATCGTCACATTGGTTAAGTGAGTCACCCGGTTGTTAAGTGAATCCAGTGAATTCTCCCCATTGACTTTGCTGGATAGAAGGTCGCAAAAGGGGATTGCGTGACTCCTGGGACACTGCAACCGTCATAAGTACGAGTCAGTTGACAAGCGACTGAATTTTAATCACATGATCATGGGACAGCCGCAACGGTCATAAGTGTGAAAAACGGCCGTAAGTCCCTTTTTTCAGTGCCGTTGTAACTTTGGTCACTAAATGAACTGTTGTAAGACGAGGACTTCCTGTATGGAAGCACCTCATTCAAAGGAAACTCAAAGTGATGATAGAAGCACTCAAACTGATCTGGGACTCACAAGTCTGATTTTTTTTCCAGGAGCTTTAAATCAAACAGTCTCTTTCTTGACGAATTCACGCTGTACTGTATAAATTCGTCGTAATAAATAAATGCAGCAGACTGTGGATTGGGCATATTTTCTGCCCCTTCCCCTTTTTTTTCCATGGGTTTGGATTCAGAGGCCTGCTTCTATATTTAAACATTAAACAGGTTCTGGATATTTATTTTTTTTTACTTATTGGATTTTTACCCCACTTTTATCACTTTATAAGCAATTCAACGTGGCAAACGTACCGAATGCTTCTCCCTCCTCCTCCTATTTTCCCCACAATAACCCTGTGAGGTAGGTTCAGCTGAGAGAGAGAGAGAGAGGGATTGGGCTGGGCCAAAGTCACCCAGTCAGCTTTCATGCCTAAGGCAGAACTAGAACTCACAGCCTTCTGACGATTGACCTAAAGTTCCCCAGCTGGCTTACATTCCAAAGGTGGAACTAGAATTCACCGTCTCCTGGTAATTGGCCTAAAGTCACCCAGTCAGCTTTCATGCCTAAGGCAGGACTAGAACTCACTGACTCCTGGTTTTTAGGCCAGCACCCTAAACCCTAGGCTGGTGGCGTAGTATTGAAGGCATCGGACAGATACTGGGAGACTGTGAGTTCTAGACATGAAGCTATCTGGGTAATCTTGGGCCAGTCACACCCTCTCAGCCCTAGGAAGGAGGCAATGGCAGACTAAAATCTGGCCAAGACAACTGCCAGGACTTCTCCATCCAGTCAAGGCTGATTTGAAGGCACCTCCTCCAAAAAAATAGATACAATCAGCACATGAATCAATGCTACACCCACAGTTTCCTTTGGTCCCTCGGCCATCTGATGCATTTCCAAATTGTTGACATGTGAACATGATCCAGGCAACTTCCCTCATCAAATTAACTAAGCCAGCCACCTTTCTTTCTTTCTCTTTCTTTCTCTTTTTTCTTTCTTTCTTTCTCTCTCTCTCTCTCTCTTTCTTTCTCTCTCTTTCTTTCTTTCTATTTTTTCTCTCTTGCTCTTTCTTTCTCTCTCTATTTTTTCTCTTTTTTCTTTCTCTCTCTTTCTTTCTTTCTCTCTTTTTCTCTCTCTCGTTTCTTTCTTTCTCTTTCTTTTTCTCTCTCTCTCCTTTCTTTCTTTCTCTTTCTTTCTCTTTCTTTTTTCCTCTCTTTCTCTCTCTCTCTCTTTCTTTCTCTCTCTCTCTTTCTTTCTCTTTATTTTTTCTCTCTCTCTTGCTTTCTCTCTCGCTCTTTCTCTCTCTATTTTCTTTTTTCTTTCTCTCTCTCTCTCTCTCTCTTTCTCTCTCTTTCTTTCTTTCTCTTTCCTTTTTCCTTTCTCTCTCTCTCTCTCTCTTTCTTTCTTCTTTCTTTCTTTCTCTTTCCTTTTTCCTTTCTCTCTCTCTCTCTCTCTTTCTTTCTTCTTTCTTTCTTTCTTTCTTTCTTTCTCACTTCCTCCCATTCCATCCCAAGCTGGTTCATCTTCTGATTTTAAGATTGTGAATTGCTACCCAGAACTGCAGAACAGGTTCCATCCGCAGAATCCACAGTTAGTTGTTGAGATCTACCATAATCTCTTTCTCCGTGGCTTCTCGCTAGCTCCCCTCCTTCTACACAATGCTCAGGAAATGTCCAGATGGTGAGGGGAGGTTGTTGGACAGGGGGAAAAAAAGAAGATAACGAAAGAGAAGACGGCCAAAACCATTTTGCTCGAGGATGGAATACAGTTTCCCACGGTTTTGTTGTTGTTTTTCCCCTGTCCTTGATCCGGCTCTCTGGGAAAAAGCCAACACAACACACACACAACTAGATTTAAAGCCAACACCACACCTAACCCATACTAGTTCACGGGTTGAACACGGGCATATGAAACTAAGAAAGACTTAGATAATCAGGCTCCATCGTGAACATCTGCTGACCTTCAATCACCCAACTTTGGTTTCAACAGATGACCCTGACTCAACAACTGTGGGAGGGAAGGAAATAAGCTTTTCTTTGTTCCCACTTCTCAGCCTGCTGAGTGAATTTAGACATCTCTCCCTCCCTCCCTCTCTCTCTCTCTCAATCTCTCTCTCTCAATCTCTCTCTCTCAATCTCTCTCTCTCTCAATCTCTCTCTCATTCTTCTCTCTCTCTCAATCTCTCTCTCACTCTCTCTCTCTCTCTCTCTCTCTCTCTCTCTCTCTCTCTCTCTCTCTCTCTCTCTCTCTCTCTCTCTCTCTCTCTCTCGTTGAACTCTTGTTCATTCAGCCCAACGGGAGCCAACGGGAAGAGAGCAACAAGTCTGTGTAGTCCACCTGCAAAGAACAGGTGGGCAGGTGGACTTCTTCCACCCAAGCTTTCTCACAAGGAGGCACCCAGATCGAACAGTAGATAGTCAGGCTCTCCTGCTCTCACGTTGTCCATCCAGTTTGGCAACAAGATGAGTTAAGAACTCAGGCATCTAAAATATAGGTTGCGCATTGTCTCGGGAGGCATCACAACATCTCGTTTGCTAAATAGTGTGGCTTTTGACTCTTCTTTTTTTTGGGGAAGTATTGTGTCATGATCTCAAGGGACCAAAACAAGATCTTCTCTTGGGCCTTTTCACTCAGCCGTGATGATGACTAATGCAGGGAATCCTCCATCTCAACCTGGGTCCCTCAAGGCCTCCAAGCAGTTCTGCTTCAAGCTGATCAACAAACTACCTGAGGGCAGCTGGCATTTGACAGATGCTTTGTTGACAAGAGGATAGAAATGCCCACAGCAGGGAGGGGTGGGTCCCCTTTTAAGGGGTTGCCCTCCCTCATCCATCTCAGCTCCCAGCCAGGGGAAAATCAAAACAAAACTTTCCTAGAAGGTTTCGTTCAAACCTAGGAGGCTGATGGAAGCTGAATTGCAATGCAAAAGAACAGGAGACCAGGAGGTATAATCTTTGGGTGATCTCCTTGGGTGGCCAGGATCTAAAAGAAGAACACAATGTTTTGGCAAGACTTGGTCGCAGCATAGCACAGGTGGATCAGCTGCAAATCTACCTGGTTGATAGAATAGAATAGAATTTTTTATTGGCCAACTGTGATTGGACACACAAGGAATTTGTCTTGGTGCATACTCTCTCAGTGTATATCAAAAGAAGAGATACATTCGTCAAGAATCATAAGGTAAAACACTTAATGATAGTCATAGGGTACAAATAAGCAATCGAATCATACTAGGAAACAATCAATATAAATCTTAAGGATACCAGCAACAAAGTTACAGTCATACAGTCATAAGTGGGAGGAGATGGGTGATGGGAACGATGAGAAGATTAATAGTAGTGCAGACTTAGTAACTAGTTTGACAGTGTTGAGGGAATTATTTGTTTAGCAGAGTGATGGCATTCGGGGAAAAAACTCCTTGTGTCTAGTTGTTCTGGTGTGCAGTGCTCTATAGCGTCAATTTGAGGGTAGGAGTTGAAACAGTTTATGTCCAGGATGTGAGAGGTCTGTAGATATTTTCACAGCCCTCTTTTTGACTCATGCAGTATACAGGTCCTCAATGGAAGGTAGATTAATAGCCTTTCATTGATTGTCAAGTATTAAATACGCTGAGAAGTCTGTACTTGTTGGACATATTTTACCCGCTGACCCAAATTCCTCAATCTTCTTGAGTTTTGAAGATGGCTGCAAGAAATTAGTGTTTTTGACCTGAGGACCACTTTAAATCTTCATAATCCCAAAATCTCCTGGTGCTTTGAGCAACAGATGCTTAACTATATAATTCATGCTACTGAATTCTACCTTCTGTCCACCCAAGTGTTTATTTTGCTTTGCGCTGTTCTGCCTTCTTATCCTATTCAGTCCCAAATTCTAGCCCGATTGTGTTCATTCCAGCCTCTTTCCTGGGTTCCCAATTTGTGAGCCGTGATGGTGCAGTGGTTAGAATGTGGTACTGCAGGCTAATTCTGCCAACTGCCAGGAATTCGATCCTGACCGGCTCAAGGTTGACTCAGCCTTCCGTCCTTCCGAGGTCGATAAAATGAGGATCCGGATTTTTGGGAAGGTCGATAGGCTGACTCTGTATACCACTTAGAGAGGACTGTAAAGCACTGTAAAGCGGTATATAAATCTAACTGCTATCTCTCCGGGCACACGAGCCATCGCCCATTGCTCTTCCAAGTTCCGGCATGCTGGTCAGCTAGTCTTCATGCACACACATGTGCGCCGGCCAGCTGGTCTTTCCACATGCAAGCATGCCAGAAACTGGAAGACCAGGTGACCGCCGTGTGCATGTGCACCATGTGCATTTCCGGCACACACACCCATGCTCCCGTTTCGGCACTCGGTGCCAAAAAGGTTAGCCAACACTGGTATAGGTTCTCCTGCTTCAGCAGGGTGGGGGCTGGACTGGAAGACCTCCAAGGTGTTGTGGTCCGCCCGCAGCCTGCAGAGCTGGCAGCGGAGTCGGACAGTGAGGAGGCTGGGGAGGACCATGGGCCAG